TCCGCGCGCTACTCAGAGACAAAGGGAGATGGTGTTGGCAAAGCATTGTGCGATGGCAGACAAAGGGATTCAGTCCGGCGCAGTTGAAAGGGATTCAGTCCGGCGCGGTTGAAAAGAAGGGGAGCTAGCCAATGGGCAGAAAAGTTGACGCAGTGAGAAGCTGACGCACTGACAAAATTGTGGACGGGAAGGTGGTCTGACAGGCGGTGAAAATTGTGGACCGCCTGGCAAGTGACTGATGGGTAAGTGACAGACCGACAGACTGACGGACCGACAGACTGATGGACTGACAGACTGACGGACCGACAGACTGACGGACCGACAGACTGACAGACCGACAGACTGACGGACCAACGGACTGACGGGAAGCTGTGTGTACCTTGGGCACAGCACCAGTGTCAAAGTTGGATTTGTCTGTTGGGCACTGGACCTGTCCTCCACTTTGTCCGTTGCCCAGCCAATTTCCTTGCAATTTTGACGCGTCCCTTGCCCATCGCCCGTCCCTCCACCCAAAAATTGACATTGTCCGTTGCGGCACTGGAGCAGTGTAAATTTGCCTGTCCTTTGGACCGACGGACAGCCAGAGCCGCCCACCGTTTGGCAGGAAGGAATCGCCCGTCGCCACCGACCGATGCGCCGCCGCCTAGGGCTAGGACAATTTCGAGTTGAATCTTCGCATCAAAATTTCGAATTCACTCATTGCCTTTGGCCGTGCGCTTGCCGCCCAAGCGGGGCACCGGGCGAGCCTTTTTGTCGGGCAAAGAGGTGCTAACATCTTCGGCCAACCGTTGCCGCTTGCTGGACAATGTTGCTTGATGAGCGCACCGACCAATTTGATTCGCCTGGCCTTGGCGCAGTGACACTCGTTGTGGGCGTCGACGGTCCCGCAGCGGTGCGGTGCCCCAAAGCGAGGGCGAGGCTGTTCGTAGCCTGGCTTCTCGAATCCTGGCTGGCCACTTGTAGCCTCAGCGTCAGGCTCGTTGTGAGTGTGGTCGCACCCTAGCAGCGCGCTGTTCCAAAGGGAGGCTGCTGAGGCTCGTCGCGGGCGTGGACGAGCCTGAAGCAGCGCGCTGCCCCAAGGCGAGGCTTCTCGAAGCCTGCGAGGCACCTCGTTCCTCCCGTCCCTCCTGCGGCTTGAAGGCAATAAACCCTTTCATGAGTCCAAGTGCAGCGGGCCTTGTCTTGAGGTTGCTTGCCGTCGGCAAGACGTTGTGCGGAGCCATATTCCAATACGGAGTGTTCACGATGTTCAGCTTGAATCCGTGAGAACAACCTCATTCGACAGGAGGCAGCGCAAGACGGGAGAATTGATCAACTGCGTGAAAGTGGAACCTCTACACTGCCCGATGCACGGTCGCACGACCATCTCGAAGGAGGAGTGAGCGCGCGAGCGGTTATCGGTTCTCGAGTGAAATGTCTGCCTTCTTACAGCGCCTCTTGCCAAGTGCGAGCAAACGACGTCGCCAAAGCAGCTCCGGGTCCTGCCAAGACGGCCTCGAGCATATTCGGAGGGTGCCCTTGCTCAATTTGCGCTGCCCAAAGTCCAATGATCGTAGCAGCCAGGTTGCCCAGCAGGAAACGAGGTCCCAGCCCAATCGTGCTTGCCGAAGGCAGCGTCCATGACCAGTCACCGTTGCGGATAGCAAGCAAGACGGGAGACAAGTAATCTGCGCGACTGCCACTAGCACCATCAGACGGGTACATCGGTCTTATGAAAAACCCGAATACGCCTGCCCACCAAGCTGCCATCAGCAACCATTTGACCGCAAGAAAGTTGGAGATGATCAAACGGACGCCTGCGTCATGATCTGATGCGCTCTCCTCAATGCGCTCCGCAGGTGCGATCAGCAGAGCAGGGAGGAGAAAAAGCGGGTAAAGCTGTATCGTTGAGGTATGACAAGACGCCAAAAGGGTAAGCGACTCCGAGTCCCAAGACCAATTCTGTGGCCGAAGTACACGAAAAGCATCGACCTACCTCGAAAAGATGGTGCGTAAAGTAGTAAGCATGATCGTTGGCGGTATTGCCGAAAAAGATACCTAGACAGGCACACATTGCTGTGGCGACAAGCAAGGTTACCAGCCGAACGTAGTTGCTGTTGACCGAGACGTGACTGTGTTCGCTCGAATTCTTGTACGAGCTGTGCTTCGGGCTGAATTTAGGTCGTTGTTGAACGATAACGGGAGGCGTAGGCGGATAAAAAAGAGCCGTGGTCATCGCCACTGTGATGAGCTGCGTCGTTGTTGCAAATGCGAATGCCTTGAAGGTCTCGAAGCGAGTGCGTGCACTGTAGAGCACGTTGAGCAGCAAGGGCGCCAAGACGGAAATGAACAGAAGCGCGGTCTGACGAGGTACCAACAAGGGATGGGATTCAGCCGAGGACTACTGTAGCTGGCTGTAGCCTGCGCAATGGTGGCGTAAGGCATTGGTTCACTTACAGCTCTACCAGCCGGTACGGAGAAGACCTGCTCGAAGGCGTACATCAGCGAGCAGATGTGCGCGTCGAGCAATGGAAACCCGGTATGTGATCCGAAACGGTCTGATACCGAGCCAGGTGCCATGTTCACGCATTGGTCGAATGCAGTCCGAGCGATTCCGGCTCGCCCCTGGCTCGCGCCAACCAGAAGCACTGCCACGGCTAGGCTTCGAAGCCAGAACGATTTGCTGCCTTGGGCTCGAGAAGATCTTGAAACGTAGCAAGACATGTTGGGGATCTCGGACGACGTGTGCGGAAAGATGCAAGAGTCTTCGAGACGAGTACTTATGGAGGCCGAGAGCACCTTTCATGCGTGAGAGCCGATCGCGCTCCTTGCGCCTGCAACACTTGATCAGTATCGAGTTAAAGTCCACCAGTACCAGGGTCCAATGCAAGCTCGTAGCAACAGTACCTTCCATAGGGGGTTGCAGTGACCGGAAATAAGGCATGTTGCCGCTACGACTGCCGGCCTGTCGGAATTTTGAAAGCGGGTCCCATTCAATTCATAATTTTGGCGGGTGCCAGGGTAGCACGCTGACAGAGGATGACGATGGCGGTGAAAGGTGGCGGGTGAAAGTCGACGGCGAAGATACAACACGATCGCATCAATGGCACTCGCTTCCATGAGCTTCGGTGCTCAGCATGGGGTTCCTTTCACGGATACGCGAATTGGCAGTCGGGTCACTGCAAGGTCCGACGGCTTTGCACGCCGAGAGTTGCGCGTGTCGGAATTATGTGGTGGATACGCGTGGTGGATACGCCAGTCAACGCGGGTCTCATTCAGAAATTGAGCGCTTGCAAGCAGGGCTTCCGAGCGAGACGCCGAGTACTTCCCGGTCATTACACCCTTGTGGGGGCGTCTGGAAAGCACCACCATGCTAGACGAGGAGCAAGACTGGCCGTATGGGGCTAGCCTTTGATTGACGGGCAAGCTCGGTTGTCGGAATGCTTGCTCAGGCTCGCATCCGCGCGCTTTTAGATACCGTCGGTAATGGTGAGGTTCTTCTTCCCCTGTCGACCGATTACTACACTTCGATACGGCTGCGACTCCCCGCTTGCTTCCGACTGCCCGGAATATACGCAGACCCGGCGAGCCCAAGCGCCGTAAGAATGAACGCCAAGCCGCCCCAGGGCTACTCCTTGCTTACGCTCGGCTTCCTCTCCGCCACCATCTTCACTTTTGTCTGGTTCCAATACAATGCGTCGATCCCAACGGAATGGTTCTTCAGCTATGGTAGCTTGGCCGAGCATGACAACGCCATGACACACGGTAATAGCAGCGGCGAGCCCGCCCTAGAACCAATCGAATTGTTCAGACAGTATAAGGTGCTACCTCCCATGGCCAGTCTGCGAAACAGCAGCGGACAGTTTGATTTCATCCAACGTAAGGAAGCCTTTGGGCTGTACTATGTTGGACACGCCTTTCCCGGGTGAGTCTTTCATCCGCGCACTCGCTCGGTGCGCAAGAGAGGTCGAGGGCAGGAGCTGACATGATCATCTTGGTCTTCGTTGGCATCTTGCCAGACTGCTGTGGTGCATCTTAATGGCAGTGCAGAACACCAACAAAGTTCGCGAGGCGTATCCTTGTACCCACCGTGTCCTTGGACGGATCACCCTTGCCATCTCGACGCTCCTGAGTCTCTCTGGCTGGTCACTCCTTCGCAGGAAGGGGCTTTCCTTCCGCCACGAAGACTGGTGTCATCTCCACAAAGTGCGCTTCGATGGCAGGACCGTGTTTCTGTGGCCAAGCTTTGCTAGCATGACCGATATGATCGGACTCCTTGTCTTATTCACGGGCTACAAGACCATCGCTCACGCACGTCGGGGTAACTATGCTGCGCATCGGACATGGGCACGCTTCCACACCTATACCGGGTTCGCCATCCCAGTGCAGAGAGCTTGTCAAGGCTTCCTCTTCGTCGTTGCCATGCTCGTTCCTCTCTTACCCAAGTCTATTCTTCAACGTTTCAACTATCCCTCGAGCGACGAATCTACCTACGAGGCGGAGCTCGCCTGCATGGGCCTAGCAGTGTTCTTGGCTGCCATCACCTCGGCATTCATTGTCTACCGCGACGTTTCCCGGCGACCTTCAAGACGCAAACACGCAAATGCCAAGGTCAACTGACACTGTAACCGTGCTACAGACTTGGCGCAGACCCCTTCAGCAGGTTGTTCAAATTTCATTCTACCGATAGAGGGAAGCAGCAGCAGACACTCCAGCGTTCGTGTCGAAACTGTAGCACATCAATTAGATTCTTGGTGCTATCGCCGCGGGTCTGAGTACAACGAATTCTACAACGGGCACACTCTGACACCTCCAGTGGCCGACTGGTCACACAAGACTTGACCATACACGGCATCAAAAGCTGGCACACAGCTGCTCCAGCTCGACGACGAATGCATCGCAAATCGCCTCGATACGGTGTGCCTCCATGGCGGATCGATCGCAGCGCGCTCCCAATGAAAGCGTGCCTGTCTTTGCATCCAGGCCAACGTCCATGTAAAGCTGTGCTGTGCCCTTCGACTGGAAGGCAGCGTCCGAGGGGTCGTAGTCGACACTGGTCTTGCCGTGCATCAGAGGGTGGCGCGTAAAGTAGCCACTGTCGTAGGGTAGCCTGTGTGGCTTCAGCAGCGCCTTCTTCTCCTCTGCTTCGTCTCCGGTCCCGGGTTTGGACTTGTGCCACAGCAGGTTGAGGTGTGCATCGAAGGCCACCGGGCAGACCACGTCATCCTGCTGATGGTTTGCTCGTAGGACAAGCTGCCTCTGGATCCTCCTGAGTTGTTCGAGCAGGTCCCCGCTACCTTGAGCTCCCACAACCACCGTCATTGGCTGCATGGCCGTCGTTGGCCCCACCAGCGCCCCAAGGCCGTCGAACGCACTCGACCTTCCTGCTGTGTAGAAGCCAAACGTTGGAGAGACCAGCGGGCGTTCGCCGGCGAGGGACGAGAGGAGACGTGCGTACGCCAAGATGACCACCTCTTGCAGCCCGACTCCTTGTGTCCGACACCTAGCATCCAAGACGTCCGCTTCCTTCAATGCAGCTTTTCGAACATGCATGGCCTGCTCGATCGACTGCTGTACTCCCATGCACACCAGCGTTGGTGAAGCGCCGCGCAAGATCCTGTCCCAAAGCGCCTTGTCTGCAACGTGGGATCGAAGTGCGTCCCGCGACGTCTGCTCGACGAAGCGGATCCAGCTGACAGGATCCGGTATGGACCTCAGGCCATCTTTCTCGATGTTGCGGTAGAGGTGTGTCAACTCGTACGCCATCAAGCGCATGCTCCAAGCATCGTAGCTTGTATGATGGACCGTGAGCAGGACAAGGTCCTTCTGCTTTCCCTGTACCAACGTCAGCCGCACCGATGGCCGTGAAAGATCGCTGGGAGATGCATTGAGCCTCTTGACGGCTTCAAACGCCGCTGAATCCACATCGTCACCGCCGTCAACCAGTGCCAGCTTGGAGCGCTCGTGGTGACGCAACACCGAACAGGCTTCCTTGAACACCACCTGCACGACCGTCCCTTTTGCCTTGGAGCGCACAAAGGCGGTGCGAAGAGCTGCGTTGCGTCGACACAGCTCGCGCCAGGCAGACTCGAGCCTGGGCGCGTCGAGCTTGTACTCCGTGGCGTACACAAATGTAGGCTCCAAGAATCTTCGACCCCGTTGCAGCCAGAGATCGATGTGCTGCTTTTGCCCGGTCAAGACAGGTAGTACCGCCTCGATTTCGCTTGCTGCTACATTGAGGAGCACAGCTGCTTCCTGCTCGACCTCGCTGCTCACCAGTTCTACTGGCTCTTGTTGTGCGGGTCGTGTTGAGTCGCTTGCCGTGCTCTCTTCCGCCGTGTTTGAAACTACGGTCAGTCTGGCAAACGTTCCGGCTGAGAGAACTTCGTATGGCGTCAGAGGCACGCCCTCGCTGCGAGCATCTGCAGAAATGCAAATGGCTAGCAGCGAGTCGATGCCAAGCAAGAAAAGGTTCGGGCAGGCCACAATCGCACCCTCTTCCGTGTTCAGGCGCCTTGCGAAATGACGCAGCACGATCTTCTGCTCTTCGCTGGTCAATCTGCGACGCCCATCGCCGACTTCCATAAGATTGTCGGCCTCTTGCGCCCGTCCATCCGCAGGTGTCGTCAGAGGAAGTGCTGCCAAAGCTTCTGGGAAAGCTCCTACAGGTCGATGAGGCCGGTGCAAAAGGTCCGAAAGCACCCCGGCAAACATTTGCAGCGTCGTGGCAAGCCAGCCTGCACCGCCAACAGCATCGCTGGCTCCCGCTTTGATGACGATCCCTCGGTCGTCCTGGATGACGGAAATGTTGACGGGATATTCGGAAGCTGATGTGAAGGCTGTCTTGACTTCACCCTCTGTCATCGCAGGCGAGCCTTCGGACGCCTCGATTCCCGTCCACAGCTCCGCAGTGCCGTCGAGCGCGGCCTGCGACTTGCCCGAGACGTTGTGAAAAACGAACAGGCTATCAAACAATGTCCTGTAGGCGGCTCGCTCTCGCTTCCAAGCATTCTGGATGCTTCCCAACGACGCATGCTGGAAAGGCTGCGCAGCAAGAACGCGTTTGTGCAGTTCTCGAGCCGCTGCAGCGTTCGAGGCGAGATCGTCCTCCAAGCGCACCCGGATCGGCACTGTGTTGATGAGCGGTCCACTGATGTCTTCGATCCCCGGCAGAGTGAGATAGCGACCTGACACGACCTGACCGAAGCAGACATCGCGCTGGCCCGAACAGACGGCCAGGACTTTGGCCCATCCAAGCAACGCCACTGCCTGCGGTGCCGCTCCCAGCTCGGCGCTCCTTTGCTTCAACTCGGTCGCCGTGATGGGAAGTCGTACCTCGTCCAGCCGATACGGAGCTGTAGCCAGTGCTTCTACCTGTGCGGACCCCTGAACGAGCAAACTCGGTCGATCGAAGCTGGTGAGCGTCTGCTGCCAGTACTGCTTCGACTCTTGTGCGGTGGAACGAATCAGGTCTGCCGCCAAACAGAAGGGTTGGCGCACCATCAGTTCGGCTGTCTCGTCGCGATACACCTTTTTCATGTCTGCAAACAGCCACGGTAGGGAGACGCCATCGTACAGGCTGTGGTGCATCGAGATGACAAGAACATCTTCCTGTGATGAACAATGGAGCACAGCAGCTTGCCATGGGCTGACATTGAACCGTTCCGCACGATCGAAGCAGAAGTCTGCACCGTACTCCCGCAGTGCCTTCGATGGGGCCTTGTTGCTGTGGCGATGGGACAGCTGAGGACGTGGAGACAGCTTGTCAAAGGGTGTCACCTCGGCAATCCACGACAACAGCCCCGGTTCGGCGAGCTTCTGACCGGCGGACAGCTCTTCGAGGTGGAAGGCTGTCCGCAAAATATCGTGAGCTGCTACCAGGCGCTGCAGAGCCCGCTGCAGTCGATCGTAGTCCAACGCCTCGTTCAGCAGAACAGCATGGTGATGAACGTACAGGTCGTGGTTTGGCGAGGCGATCGTGCCGTTCAGCATACCGGCTTGCAACGGCGTAGCTTCGTAGCGTAAAGTAGCGTCTGTTGGAGAGGGCAAGGCCGTGTCGCTTGCGTTGGACCCGCTTCTTCTTTGATCGAGTAGCTGCGATAGACCTGCGACAGAACCTGACGCCAGGACATCGTGAGCACTCAGCTGCAGCTTGCATTCGCTCCTCAAACGTGCCGAGAAGCGCAAAGCCACGATGGAATCGAGGCCAATGCGCAAAAAGGGCGTGTCTAGCTGGAGCAAATCTGCTGACGGTGCGCCGCACATGTCCACAGCTAGGTTCCGAATCTTCTCCTCGACCTCGGTCATCGGACGCATTGCGAGCTTCGACACGCCGTTCCGGTCTGGCATCCCGATTGATGCAGAGGACAGCCTCGGCACCCCTGCTGCCTCGAGACTCATTCCGACACCTGCACCTGATGCAATCTTGTTGAGAAGCAAGCAGAGCGTCTCGACCATCGCTTCGAGTCCGCCCTGGGGCAGGACATGCTTGACCATTGCCGAGATACGCAGCTCGTCGATAGCAGCATCGACCGTGACCTCGACGGCCGCAGGCGCATCGGTGTCTGCGTCGATCTGATCCAAGTGCCATCTTCTTGCCTTCGAATCCGTGTCCGACTGTATAAAGCTGAACAGGAGATCCACGATGGACCCCTGCCGTTCCGATCCAATCCATCTGCGGATCTGACGCATCGACGTATGCTGGAAAGCTAGGCAGGAGCTGTTCCATTCGTAGCATGCTCGAACAATGTCAGCAAGGTCCTCTGCTCCACGAGCAGCGCAGAGCGAGAAGGGCATGGGGACTGTCGTCAGGCACGGAGCGACGATGTGTTCCGCAGACGCAAGATCCAGCGACCGGCCCCAGAGCACGATGCCTAGCGTGAATGCCGGAGTGCCGAGCGAACGGCTCACTGCTATGCCGAGAGCTGCCGCTAACAGCGAAGACAGCGTGACTTGCAGCTTTTGCGCAACAGCTTCGAGAGGCTTCAGCTGCAGGGAGGCTTTGCAGCGAACCGAACTCGAGCCACTTGTGGGCGCTGACACTCGATCGAAGCGGTCCCACACGCTCGGCTCGTTGACAGGGTAGTCGACGAAAGCGCTGCACCAGAATCTCTGAGCCTGTTGAGCAGGGACGGCCAGGATGGACTCGATCAGGTTCTGCATCCTTGGACTCTCGCTTTTGAGGCACTGAGCATCCTCCTCTTGCAACAGGGTGGTCAAATCTCGGAGCAGAAGAGTGAGCGAGTGACCGTCGTACAGAGCGTGATGCATTAACAGGACAAACGCTGCTCGTGCGGATGAGTCCTTTTCGAACTCGATCCGCCACGGAGGAACAGCAGAGATGTCACGCAAGATCGCAAGTGGCGTAGCTGGCTCCCGCTCGCCTTGACTTGGGCGTACCAAATGTCGCTCGATATCGACGTGCTGCAACACTACTTGTGCGATCGTGCCATCATCGACGTGGTCAAAGCACGTGCGCAAGATGCTGTGCCGCTGGGCAAGACGCAGCCAAGCACGTCGGAGCGTCTCTGCTGATGGACAGCGCTCCTGCGGTAAGCGTCCAACGTCCAAGCTGATTCTCATGCGCGCAACATACACAGTTTCGGTGCTGCTAGCGCTAA